TTATTAAAAAAAATTATGATAGATCAGCTCCTGGGGACTTCAGAGAAATTATCCTATTTTGTCAAATCTTAACTTATGACAATTTCTCTACACAACTAGAAGTGATATGGTTAAAACAAAACAAAAATTGAAGCCTATAAGTTAAAATTTACAAATTAATCATCGAGTTATTTCTTATTGGTAAGTCCAGTATTTTTGATTAACTTTAAAAAATCATAACTAAATCTAGAAACGTTGCATGAGGATGATCTAAAATTCTCTTGAAAGCTTTTAAAATCCTTTATTATGAGAAAAATACATGTTTAACCATCTTGCGTCCCAAACTATAGAGTTTAATCATCTTCCAATATTGCTTTGTTTTTTAGAAAAATCCATGCCATAATTTTAAAAATCTTTATGTGTTTAATTCGCTCATAAAAATTTTCTTGAGCATCGGACATAGATTACTATACTTTACACAATGAAATAGTAGCCTTCCTTTGAAAAGAGTCTAAACTAGATAGTCCTAATTTTGTGTAGGATAGGAAGGCATAGCAGAAGATTAAAATTTTAAAATATCTATCCTAATATGGACCGAACAAATTCATTTAAGTCAAGGTTGATAGAAGAGTTATCTTTTAATTCTTCAAACTTGACACATGTTCTCTTTAAGAGTTTGGATCTCAAGAGCTGACAATGTAGATCTGCTTCCTCTACTGATATCCACACGAACAACTCTCTAACTCAAACAATGTGCTAGCGCTCCTAGCATCCGTTCTTCTTTGAACGTTGATTTTTTTTTTTCTAAGGTGTTTCATGACTCTCCAAGTATTTGGTCGTCAAAACTTTTCTAACTCTCACCCTTTGCACATCCCATTGTATCTATTATATATAGATTAGGGACCAAAATTTAGATTAAATTTATCTCATAAATAAAACCTATAGTACCATATCTAATTTGAATTTATCTTATAAACTCAAACTATAAAACTAATATGATATTCTTTCATATCATGTTAATTATTAAATTTATTCTATCATATCAAATTAAATTTAAAACTAATACAATATAATATATCACATATACATATTATATTATATATATATATATGAATATATATATATATATTATATTATATATATTTAATTTTATATATCATATATCATATACATATACATATACATATATATATATATATATATATTTCAAAAATATATATATATATGCATAAAATTATATTTTAAATTTTATATTTCATATAAATATATATAAATATTTATCATATAATATTCAAATATATAAAATTCATTTACCCTATATTACATTCATTGAATCTAGACATATTCCAGATTCAATGAACTTGAACATTATAGCTTGAGTCAAGCTATTCTTGTGTGTGACCTTGTAGGCTCCTATAAAGTTGACAGTAGGCTAATTACGCTATTAGCCCACAAGTCATAAGTGACCTCTAGCAAGACATTGCAACTACCCAAGTCATATGAGGATTGATGATCTGATGTAACCTATCATGCAATTGTATCACATCCCTTTTGTCACACGATATTTCGATTAAGTATGAGACATGAAATTGTCATTCTCCTTTACCTGACTACTACTTTCTCGATCTCTGAGTGGACTGACTGTAGTTATGAAAAAATCCTTTTCATTGTAGTATAGCCATACAATTTCTTAATCTTACTCATTGAGGAGTCCAGTAGTATCTTTCACTTAATGTGAGGGACAAATTCCATCTTGACTACTCATATTCCTCTACATGAACATCACTAAACTCAATCATAGCTTTTATGATCACCCGGTCAAAGGTGACTTTTGATTAGGTCAAAGTTCATTGGTCATCATGTAGGAATCCATGATGATCTCAAGTCAAAGGGCTTAGTAATATAGTTACATATGAGATAAGCTTATGACTAGTACTATGTAGCTTTCTTATAGCAGGTCGGTCCAACACCTTGTACCCTTTCAAGTGATTTGTATCTCTATAATTAATTAAAGTCATACTAGTCTTATTTCATCTATAATCCCTCACAGATGACCAACCAAGGACATTTAGAACAATCACTATAGTTTGTCTAAGGATACAGTTATCATAGTGAACATACAATTGATATGATAACAAAAGAGAAATTCATTAAATAACAATGTGCATAATGCAATAATTGGCCTTAGGGCACAATTTCCTACATCTTGCTCATTAAAATCATGATATCAAGGCTAGTTTAGGACTTCGAATTAGCCATCATACATCACCACATATCACTTATACACACTAAGGTCTCACCATGAATTTACATAGCTTATGAACTTATTTATACATTTTCATCTCTATAAAAGTAATGCCATAGGAAAATCATCTCTTAGTCTACTTACTTTTGCTTCTTGCTCTAGCTCTTCCTTTAGAGGTTTATAAACTAGAACAGTTAGTCACTAGGGTGAGATTCAAGAGAATCTAAGTAGTAAACAATACAATTCAAGATACAAGCCAAAAGCTTCATGCATGACATATGTTCGCATTACATGACTTCAAGTCTTCAACAAACTTGTTGACACATGTTACATGCTTAATGTCTTGTACATCATACATGGACCAAGGAACACCTAAAAAATAGAGCTTCAAACATTCTTTCATGATTCTTATGATCAAGAAAACAAAACAGACATATTATCATACAAGCATAAACACCAAGTATGCAACGAAAAGTAAGTTTATGACCTTTTGAATTTAATGTTTTTTTATTTTACTTGCTTCCATAACTTGATCTCCCATGACCAAAACTCTAATCCTTTTTCCATGACACTCAATGGCCCAAGATATATATAAAAGAATATTTATTTCAATTGTTAGAGCCATTAATCACAATGTCAACACATGACAACTTACTTTTTATTTAACTCTTGCTTTCTTGATCTTAAATTTTAACATGAAGTTTTCTTAGCATAAAAAATTTGTGTACCATCATTCTTCCTACTTATTTTTTCATGAGAAATTCTTTTTAAACTCAAATATAACAAATTCCATCTCCTTCCCCTTTAACCAACCTTGGCCAAAATTATGGGCATTTAAGACTCTAGATCGTGCTTGCTTCTAAGCTTTTTCATGCTTCACATTTTTACATGGCTCAAGGCTGGGTTTTAAATCATATTTCATAATTTAAACTTAATTAAATTCATTTATTTATCTTGAAGAAAATTGGATAGTACCTCCCCTTATTTTCAAGCTTTTCCAATTTTCACAAAATTTGCTAAACTCTTATTCTATCATGCCTAAACCTCTTTTAACACCATTCCCATGGTTTTATCTTCATCAAAATCCTTATATTTCTTTTTTACAAAAACAGGGAAGCAACACAACACCATGGAAACTTAATTGAATTTAAAGGTGCTTAGCTCAAAATAAAGCTTGTGCTTACCTCTTCTTCATGCACTATCTTATTCTTATTTTTCCTGAACATTCCCCCATCTTTGTGACTTCAAACTCATCCTCTTATAAATCTAAAACCATATAAATGTTTCTCTTGATGAGAGGAACAATTTTTGTGAAGGCACTTTAAGGTAGAAATGAGGTTTAGATAGAGATTTTGGTTATTTTTCTTCTGCCTCTCTAATCACCATGGAAGAGCTCAAGTTCTTTCTCTCTCTATTTTCTGCACTTTGTGACCGAAAATGATCTTGAGGAAAGGAGGAGTGTGAGGTTAAATGGACAATTTAATCATGTTTAATAAATTTTGGCATCCAAAAATATCTAATTAATTTCTTACTTTTATTTTTAACCATTTAGTTTAATCAATTTTGGACCAAGTAAATTGCCAATTACGCCGCTTCTCCTTCCAAATGGGCTCAAAATGGGCTCCTAATAAAATTAATTTTTAGACATAGAAAAAAATTGGTATTATCTTAACTTAATGCAATTTAAATTGTAAAGCAATTCTTTTGAGAAATTCCTAATCAATAAAATTTTCATAATTCATCCAAATATTTCTTCCTTTAAGAAACTAATTTCCTTTAATTTTTCAATTTTGATTAATTTTTTATAATTACACTTCAAGACTCAAAAGTCTTGAGAATTACACTTTAACCTCGGTTGAGTTTGATATTTCCATGTTAACATTTACTCTTGTTTGTTTTTAACTCTAAGTACTTTCTCATACTCTCATTATATTTAGTTATATATAGTTACCTTTAAACATCAATAATTACCATATGATCCTGAATAGGTTATTACTCTTAGTTGCTTTTCTTCTCTTTCTTTTCTTAGCCAAGTTAATAGTTGAGATATATAAGAAAAAGTTAAGATACTCTCTTTGTAGTAGTTAGCCAAACTTAAAAGGTCTTTATATTTTAAACTCATCCTAGATCATCATGTTGCTAGAGAATTATCGTATACTTTGTAGCTTAGTAACTTTCTATTAAGTTTATTGTGACCATGAGATTTAATTGCAATCTCACTAAATCTTTTTTAGATCTACTATGATCCTTAAGATCTAACTAAGATAATTCTTTAGAAGATTTTAGATATAAAGATAAAGTTGTCAAATAACTCAAACTCTGTTTAAGTCGGTAACTTTATTAATTTTTTTCCAATACTGATCTTAGATACTTATGTAACTCGTTTAGGACTTATTTATTCCTCTTTAGCCTATCCTGAACATTTCTAGACTTTAACTTGCTCATCCTAGTTCCAAATGCTTCCTTGAAGTCTAAAAAATATTACACTTTTGTCTAATAAAGACTTTAAAATTATGATTTGGTCCCTAAGAATGATTCCATCTTTTTAGGTCATCTTAGAGACTCTAGATTATTTGGACTTAGTAGCTTACTAAATTTTGACATGTTCTTGAGCTTCTAGGCCCAAAATTCAGATGTTACACATTTCATAATACTATTTTGTCATTTACTTGTTTCAAGAGGATTCATTTTTCATTTTCCTTATAATATAACCCGTTAATGACCTTGGAGACTATTGTACATGTGAAAAGAAATTATCAAAATCAAGAGCTTATTCCCAAAGGATTGAACGTTTTTGTTGAGAAGAGCTTTTCTGATACTCTTCTATATGCATGAATGATATTATTTATCGAAACACATGCAAGAAAACTATTTCCATGTTCTGTAAAGCTGATATATACATATATGGATACTAATTTATTTCCACAAACAACTCAGAATACATTAATTTGAGATGTCCAGTTAGAATTCACCCAAAAAACTCAGAATGATTATGAAGCTGGTGAAATCAAATCAACCTCTTCTAGCACTGCCATGTCTTTGACTTCTACAGTGGTTAAGCAGAGCTTGAGCCTAAACATAGATAAAAGATTCGTCAGTACTTTATTCAAATATAAAAGGAAGATAAAATATGAAACAATAATGCAAGACACATACTTTTTCTTTAGCCCTTGGAGTACCAGATAGTGACAATGCTACTAATGGTGGGATAGCTCCTTCATGGATCATAATGCTTAAAAACCTGCTACTATTTGAGCAAATATGCAGCAAAGTAGCTGCTGCATTTTCCTTCCCTCTTGTAGAACCTAATTCAATAACATCAACTAGAATAGGAATAGCACCTTCATGAACAATTTCAGTTCTTCCTTCTGGAATAGATGCAAGATTTGCTAAAACAGCCACTGCCTTGTCTGCCATTCCAGCTGCCGGATCCATTAGCTCCACGAGGTACTTCACAGCGCCAGCTTGCACGATACGACCTTTGTTTTCGTGAAATATTGAGAGGTTAAACAAAGCAGTGGAAGCATCTTTCTTTCCTCTTGAAGTTCCATTTGCTAATAAATCAACCAGTGGCTTAATTGCCCCTGATCTACCAATCCTGATCCTGTTTTCTTCCATCATTGATAGGCTATAAAGTGTTGCTGCTGAATTCTCCTTGGCTTCAGGACATCCTGTTCCAAGAACATGAATTAGAAAATCGATTGCACCAGCATTTGCAATTGCAGTTTTGTTATTATCATTGATTGATAGGTTTAGAAGTGCCGTCACGGCATTTTCTTGGACCTTTGTATCAGAAGACTGGAGTAAGTCCACTAATGGGCTAATAACTCCACAATTTGCAATCACAATTCGATTCTCCACATTATGCTTCGCAAGAAGGCGGAGTTCTTCTGTTGCTTCTCTCTGAGTATCAATTGAAGAGCTCTTCAAGTCTTTGGCCAAATTCTGAACTTGGGTTTCAATACCAGAAGGACTTGGTCTAATTTCAATTGCAGGTAATGAAGAAGCTAACCTTAAATTCCCTGGTGGATGCTGCCATATACTTAAGACTTGAGGCCTTGCCTCTAATGATGGAGCTGAGAACTCAGGTTCTCTCTGAGCATTCAAGACAGTAGCACTGGTGGTTTCTAACTTTGGATTCACCTCCATAGAAGAACTACTATCAGCTTTATTTCCTTGAGGGAAGTTTTCATTTGAAAGTGCAAGATCAGCTTGAGATTGTTCTGAGTTGAAGGCATTGGAAGATTCCATTGTATATGGTGAATCTTGGCTAACTAAATCCACACTCATTTCATCTAAACTAGTAGACATGATGTCATCAGAACGTGATTGTGATATTCTTAAAATATCAAAACTTTTCCTGCTAGTGATGTCACTTGAAGAACCTTCTGAAGTTGAACTACAATGATTCAAGTTTAAGGACATTATAGGATCACGTAGCTTGACATTGTTCAACTCACACCAATTTGTAATCAGTGCTTTTACGGTATAGTTTGGTATTAGGTTGGTATGAGTCAGAGTCTGACGTGTCTTTGGACAAACATCAAGCCCGAGATCGATCCAATTCTTAATAAAAGCTCGCTCATAAGTTTGCCCTGATGACACAATCACAGGATCTTTCATCAATTCCAAAGAGAGAGGACAGCAAAAATCTAGAGGTACTGGAACTGGGCTATAACTCTGGGCTTGTTTCAGCATTATAAGACTCTCATGCATTCGAGTTGCAAGAGTAATAATCTGGTTTAGATATTCAGCTTCTGCAAAATTTTCAATCTGTTCTGCATTCTCCTTGAACTTTTCAAGTGTCACAGCCTCAATCAGAACCTCTTGGTTAGAACTTAAGCCTAGATTCTCAATAATTTTTTCAAGGACCTCTGAACTAGGTCCTAAGCCTTCCACTTGTTCCATGATAGCTTCTTTGATGATAGAAGATGTTTCTCCATGCCCCAAATTCTTTATTTTCTCAATACAGTGCTGCAATATATATCATGTTGATTTTAGATATCCTACTTAAATTTCTTAACTTGAAAACGTGTGAATCAAGATAAGAACAAGAATCTTTGAGCTAAATAAATGAATAATTGCACTTGTTACCTCTACTTGTGCAGAATTGAATTCATTAGCAAGACATTGATGGGAAGCCTTCATCTGCTTGAAAATGGCGAGTGCCAAAATCTGAATCTTAGATATCAAGAATTCAATTTGCAAAACCTAGAGATCAACGCAAAAAGTGATGAGAATCCACCTGGTACTTATAATTAAAACATGCCAATTTAATTCATTAGAAGTAGTCAATGTGAGATTCCTTTACATGTTATACTTTTGCCATCCTTTACATTGACGGTATTCCCCTTTTATCCCATTTTTTAAAGTAATTTGGATTGCATGATTAGTAGTAATAGTTTTATGCATAGTTGCCAGTGAGCTTAAATCATGCTATTAGTTCCCTTTGTAGCTAGAAAACCAAATGAGTCCAAAGTAAATTCACGCTTCACAATTGCCTGTGAGCTTAACTAAACTTGTTGCAATAAAATCAGTGAAAAGGATAAAGAAAATGTCATGAGGATGAGCCTAAAGAGAGAAATTATTTCTTAAAACTATTCTATTGGATGGTAGAGCCTCTCGCACTTCTAAGCTTTACTCTACTTATGTGGCTCTCCGATGTGAAATTCATGATAATGTCACCCCTTTTGAGAGCTGATGTTCTTAGTAACTCCCCTCCACGACACCTCACTTGACCTCCTGCCAATCAGAAGGACTCTGTGAGTAGCCCTTTTCATGACATTGGACTCTTAATAAAAGCATCAATGTCATGATCATAAGTCAAAAGGAAGAACTCATCTCAAAAGACCAACTTATTAAGTGAAAGAGTCTCTCACATTTGTAAACCTGCATGACTCTATTTATGAGATTCCTCGATCAGAAACTTATGTCAAAATACTACCCCGTAATGAGCTATTGTTTTTTTCACATTCGTAATAAGCCATTGAGATATTATGAGACTTACATTGTAAATTTTGCTACATAATAGTTGCCAACTCCCAAAAAGCTCCCTCAGTTCCTCCAGAGTCTGACTCAGTTCTTCAAATATCTTCTGAAGAACTTCATCAGAGCCAAAATCAGTATCAATAATGGCTTCAAGTATTGGCTTTAACAGTTTAAGGATCTTCTCTGCCTCCTGATGATACTTCAAGATAGGTTTTGAGTTCAAGTTTCCAGAAGATTTTGAGTGTGAAAACGAGGATATGCCATTAACAATCACGTTTAACAACGATATCTCCATAATACACACACACACACACACACCCCTGCATCAGTAATAAAATTTACATGTCGGACCCATAGAAAAGGAATAAAATAGATCGCACCTGTAAATAAAACCCTTCCTTTGAATTTTAGGGCTCAATAATTAAACATTGCCAACTAAAAAAAAAATCAAAACGACAAAAAAAAAAAGCACTTACCTAATTGCACATACAACTGAAATATCTATGTGTTGTTCTAGTGGAGAGATAAGAGTCATTTTCCAATTATTATTTTTTATTTATATTCAATTTTTATCCAATCAAACAGATGAAGGGAATGACGACATTCTAATTATTTTGAATATTATTACATTTCATTTTCATATATAACAATTCTTGATATATATCAAAGATAATAGAGATCAAATATGTATACTTACCTAGAGCTTATAATGAACTTTTCTTTAATCAGTAGAGCTTATAATAAACTAACAAACATAGGGCTTCATTTGGTACCTAGAAGGAAAAATAAAGACGACGACGACGTGATTACATAAAAACATTAATTTGACTTTCACCTTCCTTTGATCACTGAATTGCAAGCTTGTATTTCGTCTAAATTTTAGGCCAGTCAACTATTCATAATTTATAAATAGATTGATTTTTTTAATAAATAATGTAATTTTTTTTTATTTTTTTTTAAAGGTAGACGTAGTGCTTGAAAAGCCACAAGATCTACAAAATCTAGTACAAAACTAAAAGGGACAATGACAAAAACATCCTAAAAAGATTAATTAATTCAACTTAAATTATAAGTATCAAACTCAAAGAATTTGAAAGTTTAAATCTTAATTTTGTAATTTTGTTACGATGAATTTGCAACTTAAGTTCTAAATTTTAAAAGGAGAAATAAATTTATTTATTCTTTAACTGTGTTAAAATTTAAAAAATAAATTACAAATTCATCATAATAAAGTTGTAAAATTAAAAATTGAACTAGACAATTCTTAAAGTTTGGCACTTGAAATCTAAATTAAATTAGTTAATCTTTTTAGTACCTCTCTATTATTCTCCCAAACTAAAATTTGCACTAGGTTTGGGGATATTTTCTTGATTTTTGGTTGAAGGGAAATGATAGGGTTGGAAACGAGCCATCTTGATCCATATAGCCATGGAACCCATATTTGTTTAGGCCCAAAAAGTCTTTTCACTCTAAAATTGACCATTTTCACTAAATCAAGTTCAGGGCGAAGCTTTAGGATTTGTTTTTATTTTTTAAAATTTTTTTAAATTAAGCTATATTATAATATTATATATTCATGCTTTAAAGGATAAATTAAAATATTTTAAAATTTAAAATAAATAATACAAATCTTAATTTTAAAGTGCAAACACGTATTATATTCTAAAGTTTAAAATTAATCTAAAAATATAAAATATTAATTTTTTCAATTTCAAATGGATAGTTTAAACATGTTTTTTTGTAGAATTAAACAGGTAGAGCTCAAAAGCTATTTTATACTAAAATACTTCAATTTTAAATATTCAAACACGAAAAAGGGGCTTAAACTAGTAGGCCGATAAGCTTGAGCCGTATTTCTGCCATGCCACATGGGCTTTTAGGCCCAAGAAGTCATGACCTGGGCTCAATGGATCAAACTTGCTTACATACTTCGGTCTCAACTTTTTCTTTTTGGGATCTCTATGACTCTATCCCCATAGGTGTAATTTCTTAGTATTCAATTGGGCTTGACCAACCCTTTTTTTTATCAAAAAATAGTTACTTCTACCACAAAAAAAGGACTACATACAATCTCTCTTAATCTAAATCAAAATAAACTCCATCGTTTATTAAAAAAAAAAATCATTATGCCTCAAACATGATTTTCTTTAATAAGATAATAGTTTTAGATTTTTCTTAAAAAAATAATGAACTGATCCATATGATTCTACACGCTCATGTCATGCACACATAAATTCAATGAAATGAGCTAATTACACTAATGGAAACTTTTTTGACATTAAATGTATTTTCAAAATTACCATATTGATCCTCTGAAAAATAGTTGTCATTTCTAAATTGTAGTTGTCAATAGTCACAATCAAATTTGTTGCACATTATATTGAACTTGTCATTTAGATCTTGGAGATTTCTAACCCTTTAAACCCTGAAGCTTATTTTTTTAAAAAATACTCCCTCCATTTCTATATATAAGAGAAATAACTGTATCCCATAATTTAAGAAAATTAATTAACTTAATAATTGTGTCTAAAAATAAAAAACTATACTAAAATACCATTGTATTTAACCAAAAGAAGGCCACATTAATTGTTTCTAATGAATGAAAATTATGGGTTTATGGGAGATAATTTAAAAAAATTGTAGTAAATGTTTATTAAAATATTTAATTTTGCTTATTAAAAAATAGTAAATGTTAGTTTCTCTCATATATAGAAACGGAGAGAGCAACTAATTCAAAAAAAAAGAAAAAAAAAAACAGAAGAAGAAACAAAGAGAGTAATTGTCACATTTGAACTTATAGTTGTCACTAGTAATAATCAAAGTTGTTAATCGTTATACAGAAATTGACATTAAACTTAAGTATATAATTACTAACCCTTAAGATCAAAAAGTTGAATTTTTGAATAGTGGCTGTTACTGATGAAATTGTAGTTGTCATTATTTATAATAAAAGTTGTTATTGATTATACTAAACTTGTTATAGAGTTCTAACACATAAAACCGAGTTATTATTATTCATGAAAAGTTGTTTTGCTAAATTTGTGATGTCATTTTTCATGATCAAAGTAGTTAATTATTATCCAAAATTTGTTATTGTACTCTATAATAGTTTCAAATTATGGGCAATATAGTAATTTAATAAAAAAAATTAATATCAGAATAAGACCTAGGGACTCTAATTTAATCAACTCATTTCATGGAACTTATTTATCAATATGCTATTTTGGTGACCCTCATATGTCATTCTCTCTTTATATATTTTAACATAAATATATAAAAACTTTTTTTTTCTTGCTATCGCACCCGGTATCTTGAAATGTCTAGGTATGTTAGGTTCATTACTCGTTCAATCTATTCTAGACTAATCCATATCCCCACTTAGGTGAGACCTTTTTTGAAAGGGTTTCATAGGTAAAGCATGCTTAGCTATACTGCTGCATATCTTAGAACTTGAATATGAAATTTTAGGTTAAGTTGTCTAAATTTCTAATCATTTTGACAAGTGCTCGTCGGTTATATAAAAACTTGTTGGCATGCTTGTCGACATAAGTATGTATAAACTTCATCTCACCACCATAGTGGCCCAAAAGTAATCCACATGATACTTCATTGTGAAGTGGGCCTGTGGTTAATGGATCAAAACTGACCACCACTTTTGGGTCAGACCTTGATTGCAGTATAAACTAACAGACCAACACAAGATAAGCTCAACAAACATTTCATTTGCTGAATTTGTTTATATTATAAAGAAATTGGAAGTTGCAAAACTGGGTTTTATAATGAATTTGCTTGTACTCTACATATCGTTTGATTGTGTTCAACAAACGAATGCGGCAACTTAAAAAGAACATCTAATTTTTCGCTATAAAAGAGAATTTTTTTTTCCAACAATCAAATAGTAGTTTAAAGTTTTTTACATAAATTTTCCCAAAAATTTCTCAGAGTCCTTCTCTCCATAATATTTTTTTTAAAAAAAATTGTTGAACACAGTGACAAAACTATCCAAGTAAGGTGAAATGAAGACGCCAAGAATTCTCCAAAACATTTTAGACATTCTGATGAGAATATTTTGAGAAATGAAGAAAATTGAAAAGAAAAGAAAAAATGTGTAGATTGAATCATCACAAAAATTTTACAAAATAAAAAATTAATTAAATATTTTCATTTCTCAAAAATTTTACGCGTAAATAAAATATTAAATATTATTCAATTGTCACACAATTATATTTTCTGGTAGTGTACTTTTTTAGAAAAAAAAAACCTTCAATGACAAACGGAACTGTAGATTCAGGCAAGAAATCCAATCTCAAACGCAGAACTGGATATTCCAGTGTCTTCACAATACCAAGGAACATAACCAATACAAATATATGTGTTCAATTTTTGAATTAATTAATTAATTGAAATAAAAAAACTAAGAAGAAAGAACAACGTGAGATAGGCTTACCAGTGTTATCACGGAAAAGAGGAAGCGATTGAAATGGCCGGACGCTACTTCCTTGGAATTGCAACGGCCGGCGCTAGCCTCCAGTGAAAGAGGGGAGTGATTCCGGCAAGCGGCAGCCACCACGGCATCAACGAGATCAATGAGAGTAAGCTTCCGACGATAATTATAAATTTGGAAGATGGAAGCGAATTCTGAATAATCCTGGGTTTTTAGTGTTGGCTGCATCGTTTACTTTGAATCATTCGAATTGGTCAAATATTCAAAAGTCCGAGGTGACCCAAGTTGATATAAGCTATTTGGTAAAAATAAAGTAGTTCATATAAACTATAAAAGTCAGGCCATGGGCAAAGAAAAATCTATACAGGGTGAATGTCATGTTCATTCTTTGTTTGTTTGTTTGTTTTTTTTTTTATAATCATTCATTCTTTGTTTCTATCTCCACAATTAATTAATTTGTGTTTGTTATATATATATATATATATATATATATAACTATTTGTCTTCATAGATACGGCTTTAGATTTCTCAAGATCATGAAAATTATTTTCAGCTTTGTTCTCTTTACTTTTGCTTTAGAAATAATCAAAATCTATTTTAAATTAGTTGAATGCTGTTTTGGGGATTTTTTATAAGGAAAAAAATTAGGTGAGTTAAATCAGGTTTACAAAAAAAAAAAAAGTTCCATGACAAAATAGCCCTTAATTAAATTATAGGTGCAGGAGTATATATCTAGGATTTTAAACTCATTTTTTATATAATATTTTCTTTTAACTTTTAAAAAGATGCAATAATATCATCTTTAATATTAATAAAAGTTAATTTTAATAGTTACTTAATAGAAAAAACCAAAAAATTTACAATAAATGATTTAAAAATTATAAACAATGATCCAAAAAATTATAGAAAATGACTAATAAAATTTCATTAGTCATTTTTTATAATTTTTTTTAACTACTTAATGGTCATCAAAATTAACATTTGCTAATGGTAGGGGTTATATTGCACCATGCATTTTGAAATGAAAGAAAATATTATGCAAAAAATGAGTCTAGAATATCAAACACTTATAAAACTATAATTTAGGGTCCAATTTACCATTTAATGTTAATTTTGTATATCTCAATTTATATGAATAAGTAAAATAATGTATGTGTACCTGAAGAATCCATGAGCGCTTGAGAAGGCTCGATTACCTCGAGTGTAGATAGGTGCACAACCCACTGGTTCTCAAAATTTTTAGAGAGTTTAGAGATAATAGAGTAAAAGAAAAATGAGTCGTGTGTTTTTGCAGTTATCAACTAATTGTCTTATATACATCAGATCGATAATCGCCTTATTAAATAATAAATAATTATATATTTCATTATTTCTGACTCAGTCAGTTAAGACATAGGGTATAACTGATGGCTATTGGGTTGTAGGTTGGGCCTCTGCTCATTGGGCTCACTTGTGTGGTTCTCCTATCACGGTCCACATAAGATTATAAAGACCAATCTGTTTGGGCTTATTAATTAATGTTAATCCATAAATAAATAAATATTCCAACAATCTCCCACTTGGATTGCATTAATTAAGCCAGTTGTATAAACAAGCCGCAAACAAGATTTAGAAAATAAAACTCCACAAAATCATTGGATCTTATAAGGAAACAAGTGATATAATATCTCGTAATTTGAATAAAATATAAAATTTTTATTCCAAACACAGCTCAGTAAGATAATAACATAAATCACTGATTCTTATGGGGAAAGAAGTGACATGCATAGCGTACCACAACAGAATTGTTGAATCCTATGGGGATACAAATGATATAGACGCATCTAACTGAACTGAACATAACTTACAGAAGAAAACAAAGCCTAAAGAGAAATTACAACATAAAAGGTTCTCAAACTCCCATTAAACTAGGGCATCAAAGGAATTCACAATACCCATACAAGTTACATGATTTTGAAAAACTTCTCCAGGTAAGCCCTTGGTCAATGGATTTGCAAGCATCTGTGTGCCAAGAATATGTACCACACGGATTTAAGAATCAACAATTTTCTCTTTCACAAACATAAGTTTGATATCAAAATGTTTTGTACTGCTGGAATTTCAATGATTATTAGCATAGTATACTGCAGATTCGTTATCACAGTAAATGGTTAGAGGACGTGATATTGACTCAACTAGGTGCATGCTAGATATCAACTCCCTCAGCTATATAGCATGACGTGTAGTCTCAAAGCAAGCAATATACTCAGCTTCCATAGATGAAACTGCTGTAAGTGTCTGTTTCACACTTTTATAAGAGACAGCTCCTCCAGATAACATGAAAATATAGCCGGTCGTGGATTTACGATCATCTAGACAAGAGAAAAAATTTGAATCTGAAAAGCCAACAATTTCAAGATCTTCTGATCTATTAAAGTCATAATCAGAATACCCAACGATCTCAAGAGAATTTGACCTTCTGTAAGTCAACATATGATTCTTTGTACTTGAAGATACCTTATAACTTTCTTAGCAGTCTTCCAATGATCCGGACCTGGATCGTTTAAGTATTGACCCAGCACTCCAATGGCAAAGGCTATATCTGGTCAAGTACATACTTGAACATACATAAGGCTGTCGACAGTGGAAGCGTATGGTATCTTTCTCATTTCAGCCCTCTTCTTATCATCCTTGAGATACTGTAACTCTGACAACAGCTCACCTTTCTGTATAGGAGCAAGTGAAGGAGAACATAAATCCATTCTAAATCTCTTAAGTACCCGCTCAATATAAGTGGTTTGTGATAAACCAAGAATACCACGAGTTCTATCATGAAATCTGTATCCCAAGAATGAAGGAAGCTTCACCCATGTCCTTCATGTGAAAATGGCAAGACAATAGGTGCTTTATCTTATTGAGAAAATTTATTGAATTGCTGGCTAACAAGATATCATCAACATAGAGAACAAGAATGGCAAAATTGTTCCCATCAAACTTTTGATAGATGCATTGATCTGAGACATTCTCAACAAAATCAAGCGAGGTGATAACTTCATCAAATTTCAGATACCACTACCTAGAGGCTTGTTTTAGCCCATAGATGGATCTCTTCAATCTATACACTAGATGTTCTTTACCAGATTCAACAAAACCATCAAGTTATGTCATGTAGACTTCTTCATACAAATCATCATTCAAGAACGCAGTCTTGACATCTATCTAGTAAAGATCAAGATCAAGCTGTGCAACTAAAGCCATTACCACTCTAAAAGCATCTTTGGTGGATACCGGAGAGAAGGTTTCTGTATAATCAATACCTTCTTTCTGGTTATAGCCCTTAGCTACAATTCTGGCTTTATATCTATTAATTTCACCTCTAGCTCTCATTTTGTTTTAAAGACCCACTTGTAACCCACTGGTTTAAAACCCTTTAATAGCTCTACAAGCTCCCATACGTGATTGCAATACATAGAGGCAATTTCTTCACTCATAGCCTCCAACCATTCACAAGAATGTGAGCTAGAAATAGCCTCTTGGTAAGATATTAGGTCTAAACTATCAATAGCATCTGAATCAAATTCCTGCAAATACACCATGTAACCATTTGGAATAGCAGACCTGCGAACCCTTTGGACTGTCTTGGTTCAACAACCAGATCCCTATCATTCTCTAAAGGTGGTTCATCTTGAACTTCATCTTGATCCACGACATTATTTCTGTCAACATGAGGGGTTGTCAAGATAGGCATAGGCAAAACGCTACTTTCATCATGCAAAGTAATATGCCTACGCATAGAGCTCTCACTGTCTAAGGCATCTTTAAAGAAATAAGCTCGGTCAAATTCAATTACCTTAGTAGTGTGATTTGGACAATATAATTTATACTTGCGAGATCCAATGCAATAGCCAATAAAAAAACCATCAATAGTTTTAGCATCAAGCTTTATCTGTTGTGGATTGTAAGGTTTTACTTGTGCTTTACAACCCCAAACTTGCATATGCTTCAGCGCAGGAGTCTTTCCAAAATACAACTCATATTGAGTCTTTGGAACTGACTTGCTAGGAACTTGATTCAAAATATAAACAGCAGTTTTAAGTGCATCAACCCATAAGAATTCTAACAGTGAGGAGTGACTGATCATGCTTCTAACCATATCTATGAGAGTACAATTTTGCCTTTCTGCAACCCCATTTTGCTGCGGGGTGCCAGGCATAGTATACTGAGCTTCAATTCCATATTCTTGAAGGTACAAAGCAAATGGCCCAGGGTTCCTACCAGTCTCAGTATATCTCCCATAAAATTCTCCTCCTTTATCAGATCTCACACATTTGATCAACTTGCCAGATTTCAATTCGACTGCTGCTTTAAAGGTCATGAATGCATTAAAAGACTCGCCCTTTTCACACAAGAGTTCAATCCATCTATGATGATAGTAATCATCTGTCAAGGTGATGAAATATCTGAAATCACCCATAGCCGGAGGTGTGATAGGTCCACAAATATCAGTATGGATTAGGTCTAAAGTGTTTTCAGACCTCTTTGTCCCTTTGGTTCTAGCTCTAGCAAGGAATTTTTCCTTTATGCAATCAATACAAGTCTCAAAATTTGAGAAATTAAGGTCTTGTAAGACACTTTGCTTAGTCATGCGCTCCAATCTCTCTCTAGAGATATGACCCAAACAACGATGCCATAACATAGAGGAATTATCATTAGGCCTTTGACATTTATGCCCAATAGTAGTATTGATATAGAGATTAGGAAGTTCAAGTGACCAATCATTCAATCGATATAAACCATATATCAAGGAAGCGACACCAACATTAATGGAATCAAAACAAATGTCAATTTTTCCATTTCCTTGGAAGAATGAATAGCCACAAATATCCAATGAAGAAGTTGAAATTAAATTCCTCTTCGTAGAAGGTACATAAACAATATTGTTTAAATGTAAAACATGACCATAATTTAAATACAACAAAATAGTTCCAATACATTCAACTGATGCCTTGCTCCCTGCTATGCCAAAGACTGACTTCTGTGCCTCACTTGGAACCTTCTGGTTTCTTAGCCCCTTCACTTTCTTATTTGTTCTTCAGTTTGAAGCAATTAGCTTTAATGTGACCTAGTTTTTTGCAATAATTGCATAACCCCTTAAAGGGTT